CTAGGACACATCAGAACAGCTACCTCTCTGATTCTACTGCTTCAAAATAGATAATAATGATTTCTTTCTTTGATAATTATTGGCCAAACGTAAGGATAATCATAGGGACAGCAGGGATCAGAGGGTTTTAAAGTCTCTTTGCTGACATGCAGAACCTTTGACTTATAGCTACGGTCATTGAGAAATTGACTCTGTCCTCCTCCCTAGATGTCCCTGTATATTTTCCTGACCAGATTTTAATGGCACAGCTAGATGGTCCAAGACCCCAGGCCATAACCATCACATTATCCCTGTCCTTGGTTCATACAAAATGCTGATTGGGTGAGGATAGAAATGAGCCCCACGTCCTCCTTGTGAGCAGCTTTCTTATATATAGACTTGATTTGTGGACAAAAAGAAAGTCCATTTGAAGAGGTGGGGGAAAATGGCTCAGTAGGTAAAGGTATTTGCCACCAAGCCTGGGGACCCAAGTTTGATCCTTAGACCCACATGGTAGACATTCAACTCCTGAAAGTTGTTCTCTAACCTCCACACATGCATACACATACGTGTACAAGTATGCAAACAGAAATGAATGTTAATTTTTTTATAAGTGAGAAAAAAGTCGAGCCAGCTGGTGGTGGTACACACTTTTAATGCCAGTACTCAGGAGGCAGAGGCAGACAGATCTCTATGAGTTAGAGGTTTACAAGAACTAGTTCTAGGACAGGCTCCAAAGTTACGGAGAAACCCTGTCTCAAAAAAACAGAAAAAAAAACTACACAGAGAAACCCTGTCTCGAAAAAATAGAAGAAGAGGAGGAGGAGGAGGAGGAGGAGGAGGAGGAGGAGGAGGAGGAGGAGGAGAAAGGTCCATTTTTTAAAAAGTGGAAAAGCAGAGACTATCTAAGAAGATAAATCCACCATGATTTATGAAAGTGAAATAGAAACCTGTATTGGGCCAGGATTTTTCAAGAAAGGCTTATCATACATTGTAAGAAATTCTGGGAAGGAACCCAGTGCAAAATCCAAATTTGTATGGTGGTGGCGCACGCCTTTAATCCCAGCACTTGGGAGACAGAGGCAGGCAGATCTCTGTGCGTTCGAGGCCAGCCTGGTCTACAAAAGCTAGTTCCAGGACAAACTTCAAAGCTACAGAGAAACCCTGTCTCGAAAAACCAAAAAAAAAAAAAATCCAAATTTGTGCTTTACATATAACTTCTACTTTGAAAGTAATTTCATACAGCATTTTACACCATTTTGTACATGATATACACTTTCATGGGGTAGAATGACCTGTGGGAACATGTCAATATGGAACGGTGGCATGTTCAGTACTATTGCTATCACTAGTGTTGCTAGTGGGAGCTCAAGTTTTTGTTTGTTTGCTTGGTAATAGAAGATGGCAATAACTGGGAATCTGTAAGCCAGAAGTCATGGCTTCACCTGTAATTCCGAGACTCTGGGAGCTGACTTTTGAGGTTTGCTTCAAATTTCAGGCTAGCTAGAGCTACAAAGCAAGATGCTCTCTCAGAACAAACAAACAAACAAAATGCACACATATAAATGATTCTTAACTGGGACATGAACACAAGGTGTCCCCATCCCTGGTGGGTAGCTATCTAATAAAGCAGTTATCTAGAATGGCTGAACGTGTTTGCTCATTGGCAGGAGCAACTTGGCCTTGAAATCTTGGAACGAAATAAGTGTGATCCCAGGGAGCCAGGTCTGGGGACTTGGTAGTTGGGTACTGATCTATTCTCGATTCTTCATTCCACAGTTGTACTTAGCATTTGGATACAAAAGCTTGGCTTTATTTTTTTCTGGGTTGTTTTGGGAAAGCATTTAGTATCTTTTACAGGCATGGCTATGAAATGAACTTTCAAAGGCCAATGGAGCCAGGAATGGTAGCACACTCTGCCAGTATGAGGTCTACCTGAGCACAGGCCAACTTGAACCAAAAGCCACACCCTATTTAAAAAAAAGAAAAACAAACCAAAACAAAATGATAGAATCAAAACATCAAAAGGGCAAATGAAACTGAAAAGGCCTGTGAATGGCATATGTTGTTTTAAAGGTCAGTCTATCCCTGCTGCCTTTGAATCTTCATTATTCTTTTCACTCAGTGATTTTGCTTCCTGAGAAAATTAGACCTCCTACATGGCTCATTGCCAGACCATCTGGGCCTAAGAAGCAAGGCTTGTATAGTAACTCTTGGACGCTGGTCCAAGCCATGAAGACCCGGTAGTTTCCTCTCTGCCCTTATCACCAGTGTGTCATCTGGTGTGGATGTGAATGCTTTTCTCAGGCTTGAGTGAGGAGAAATTCACTTCTCTGCCCACACTATCCTTTCCCCAGCTCACTAACAGAAGACTGGACTGTACTCATGAAATGAAGCCCTGCTCTAGGCCCCTGTCTCACAATGAAAACCCATTTCCATTTAACTCCAAACTAAATGTCATAAGAACACATTATGGACATCTCTTTTCTGCTGCTGAACCCTTGGGGCTATCATTTGGGATACAGCAATCTGACCTGGAGGCCTGACTTCCTCTGTGTGTTTTTTCTTAGTAAGTCCAGTGAGCTGTGGAGATACAGCTGAAGCGTAGCCATAGGCAAGTGGGGCTAGAGGAGATCTGGCCTGGAGCAGGAGGAGATCTGGCCTGGAGCAGAAGCTGCTAGAGATCTCAGTCCTTTTGTGGAGTGAGCTGGTGGGTGGGTGCGGTGGTAAAATGACTCACAGGAGCAGTGGTGACCTCACAGCTCCTTAGCTTGACCTTGGAACTTACTAGCGTACTAGGTTGACAGTAGTCTAACCGGAGCTAAGTCTTCAGTAGATGGTTTGGGGTTAGGTGAGATGAGCCCATTCATCACAACAAGACATACTGCCCCTCAAACATCTGGGCACCCCAATGTTCCTGCTATTATGTGGACTTCTCACCAGCCCACTCCCTTTCACTTTTCTTTGTTCTAAATTTTTTTTTTCTGAAAACTAGCCTCCCAGAGGGACCAGCAGGAGCTGCCCTGGACATTCACCTCCACATTTTCAGAAGGTGGTGGAGACAGGAGCTGTGGCCACCCCAGTTCTGCCCTGGTGGAGCCAGGCAGACTTAGTAGGCTAAGGGGACAGCTGGCCAGTGTCCGGCAAGAACAATAAGGAAGAGGGTTGGCAGAGGTGGCTCAAGCAGGTCATGCATGCTCTGGCCAGCCGGACTCCTTGGGTATTGCTCAACTCTTTCCTTTCTTCTAGTCCAAGCGACAAAAAGGTTGGGCTTTTTCTTTCTTTTCTTTTTTTCTTTCTTTTCTTTCTTTCTTTCTTTTTTTTTTTTTTTTTTGGTTGAGGTTTTTATCACAGAGTTCTCCTTCAGTGAGTGCCTCCCCACAGTGGGTCCCTGCCCACAGGTCCCCTCTCTAGCTGTGGAGCTTCAGGGGAGAGCTGGAATGCTTACCCCATCTAGTTTTCCAATTTTCACCTTTCCAAGGACTGCCTGACCTTGTTGGCCAGTTTGATACCCATGCTGTGGGGGATGGGGTAGGGGGAATAAAGACAATGGGGCCAGAAAGGGGCTCCCAAGCCAGGCCAAAGCAAGAAGTCTTCCTTGTGGAGCCTTGTGGAAGGGCTTGGGTGTTCGCCAGGTGAAAGGTTCAGGGCCTAAAAGGATTGCATCTGCAGGCAGAAGGTGTTTGCAGCTCTCTGAGTGATCATTTGGAGGAGGGGGAGATATTATGCCAATTAAGTCAAGACAATGGAGTCTTGTTCCCCTTGCATGAACCCTGATAAAATTGCCTGTCCAGGGGAAGGAAAGTATTTCATTATTGCACCTTTAAAAAAAGATAATCCTTTCTGCATTTCCTTTCGGGGTGGGGGTGTCTTTTGTTCTCGTGTCTATGATCCACACATGTCCTCAGTGTTAGTTTCGGTGGAAGAACATGGTAAAGGCTTTGTTTTGTTTTGAAGTGTAGGATTAAATGACGAAGCTGTTAGAAAAGAAGGACCCCTCTCAAGTATTCTGGAATTAACAAACAAGGGCATTACTGGGGTGATCTCCTGGAAATGGCAGGCTGAGGCCACTGTCTCTGAAATCTCACCTGCTTCCCTGGGTGGTAGAGGGGTGGTGGATGGGTGGGTGGGGGTCCCACTGGAACAGGCCTATAGACACAACTTGGGTAAATATTTATTAAAAAATAATACTTTTTACTTTTCTTTCAATCTTATATTTTATTTTTTATTTATGTTTATTTATTTTTGGTTTTTGGAGACAAGGTTTTTCTGTGTAGCCCTGACTGTTCTAGAGCTTTCTCTGTAGCCCAGGCTGGCCTCTAATTCAAAGAAATATACCTTCCTTTGCCTCCCGAATGCTGGGATTAAAGACATGTACCACCACCACCCAGCTCAATTTTATTTTATTTTTTTTTTGAGATTTGAAATTTTTTATTTTATTTTGAGTGTTTTGTGTGCACGTTTGTCTGTGTACCATATAGGTTGTACAGTGCCTGGGGAGGATGGTGGATCCCTGGGAACTGGTGTTGGGGTGGTTATGCATAGTCGTAAATGCTGGGAATAGAACCCAGGACCTCTGCAGGAGTAACAAGCTGTCTTAGCCACTGCGCGTCTCTCCAGTCATGGAACTAGCCTTCTCACAGTGGAAGTTGTTTGAACTGATGAGACACAGAATTCGACAAGTCTCCAGAGTCATCACACTCAGCCCTCAGTATTTTAGTTAGTGTCCCTGCTTCCTACAGACTTGTTGTCTGCCTGCCTGCCTGCCTGCCTGCCTGTCTGTTACCATGGAACTGACACAGCATTCAAGGACACTTTGCTACATCATTTATCCGTTCACCACACAGCATCAAAAAGAAAGTGCACTGGACTGTCTTTTTTTTTTTTCCTGAGACAGAATTTCTCTATAGCTTTGGAGCCTGTCCTGGAACTAGCCTGCTTCTGCCTCCCGAGTGCTGGGATTAAAGGTGTGAGTCACCACCACCCAGCTGGACTGTCTTTAAAGTAATACATACATCTCTGCTGAGACTAAAGTCCCATCCTGACACGGTGCTTGTCCTGGGCTGCTAGAGTTTTCGAAGAGAAGCTGTTGGTCCTGATTCACTGTCAGGGACCTTCAGTGTCCCTCTTAGCATCCAGATCACAAACATAAAAAAATAAAAATAAAAAATAAAAATCAAAGAGACACAGTAGTGTCCGTGAAATGACGACTCAGAGGCACTTCTGAGAAGCCGAGTTCAGTCCCTGGAACACAAGGTGCAGGACTGAGCTGTCTCCTGAGAGTTGTCCTCTGATTTCTATGCCTGAATCATGGCATGGCATAGACTCCTCTGCATGCATGCAAACACCAAATTAAATACACGTGGATGCTGATTGACATGAGACCTAAAAGATCTCCTTCAAGTCAAATAAACAAGGTAGAAATAAACATCTTTTCATGAATTCAGCGCAGCTTAGCTCTGTGTTTCTCCACTGTTGAATTCTTGAGAAACCCTGCTGGAAGAAGAAGACATTTCACTAAAGCAGGGGGATGATTTCGGGAGGCTCGGTGGTTAGAAAATGGGTTTCCACGTTGGGTTGTGCTGGTGCATTCCTGTAATCCTCACACTTGGGAGGTTGGGGCGGGAGGATCAATCAAGGCCATCTTTGTCTATCTAATGACTGTGAAGTTAGCCTGGGCTACAGGATACTCTATTTAAAACAAATTAACAAACTACAACAGAGCTGGGGCTGGTGGAATGGCTCTGTGAATTAAGGTGGCTGTTTCCAAGTCTAACAATCTGAAATCAAACCCCAGGAAGGAGAGAATTAACTTGTGCACGCACATGTGTGCACACTCACTCACTCACTCACACTCACACACTAATTAAATGTTAGCTTATAAATGTGATTAATAAAATAAGAAGAAAGAAGCTGGGCAATGGTGGGGCATGCCTTTAATCCCAGCACTTGGGAGACAGCGGCAGGCCAGACAGTGAGTTCGAGGCCAGTCTAGTCTACAAAGCGAGTTCCAGGACAGCCAAGACTACACAGAGAAACCCTTTCTTGAAAAACCAAAAAGAAGAAGGAGTAACAAAGAAAGCAGGAGTAAAAAGAAAGTGAAAGAAAGAAAAGAGTTTTCTGCTTTCAACTTCAGGTATCCCTCCTTGTGTGTTATCTTTGACACAGGGTGTCTCTGCAGCTAAGGCTGGTAGTCCTCCTGCCTCCACCTCCTGAGTGCTGGAATTATACACGCATGTCTCTGTGCCCCACTTCTTACTGTTCCTCTAAGAACGTTGCTGGTGGCGCATTTCATCATCATGGCAATAAGAAGCTTCTTTATTTTATTATTATTTTTATTTTTAATGGGGTTTTATATATCCCAAGCTGGCCTCAGATTTGCTAGATAGTTCAGAAAGACTTTTAGCTACTGGTCAACTAGTCTTTACCTTTAAGTATTGGGATTACAGACATGTACAACCATACCCTGAATTCTGTTTGTTTGTTTGTTTGTTTGCTTATTTGAGACAGGGACTCATTTATTAGTTCCAACCTGGCCTGGAATTCACTATGTGACCTAGGCTGGCTTCAAACTCCTAGGAGTCCTTCTGTCTCAGCCTCCCAAGCACTGAAATTACAAGTGTGGGCAGCCATGCCTAGTTGGAGAACGAACAGTTCTAGCGAGTCCCAGGGAGCACCCACTCTTCCGGTTGGTAGCTGATGATGCAAAGGTTTTTCTTCTTGCTGAAGAGGCTGAAGAGTTTACCCTGGATATCAGGACACTTCAGAATAATAAAATCAGTAACAATAAGGATAGCAATGCAGCTAGCACTTATTTATTTTAAGTGTTTTTTGAGACAAAGTTTTTTCTTTTGTTGCCTTGATTGGCCTCAAAGTTCCCAGTTCATCAGCATACACCAACACTCTGGGTGTAGATCTTGCACTTTTTCTTTCCATTTTTTTCCTTCTTCACTGTTTCGTGTAGCATTTAGCCAAGGCTACATGTGTGTGGCCAAGGCTACAGACTTTGAACTTCTTGGCCTCCTTCCCCTGTCTCCCAAGTGCAGGGACTGCTCATGTGTGCCATCACTCCTGATATGTGGTGTTCAGAACTAAACCCAGGACTTCATCTGTGCGAGTCAAGCACTCTAACAGCTGAGCTACATGCCCAGTCCTTCTAACCTTTTATTTTGAGACAGAGTGCCCCGAGTTCCTCAGGCTGGTTTGCTTCTGAACTTGCTCTGACCCCAGGCAGGCCTTGTAGTCCCACTGCCTGGCCTCGGAAGGAGCTGTGCTGATGGGCCCAGGGTTGGCTTAGTTAGCACTCACTGAAACGTTTCAGTGGTAGAACACTTGTGCCTTGATTCAGTAACACAAACACAAGGCGTCAATCCCACTTCAATGATGGCAAGTTAAGGTCCTGAGGTGACGGTGTTCTGTTCAGGGTCACACAGCTAGTAAAATATGGAAGATACGATTCCCACGCGGCATGGCCTGACCCCCACTGCACTCCAGTGACTATCAGTCCTGAAGGAGTCCATCTTACTCATTCCTGCACGGAGTCTGGCCAAGGTCTGCTAAATGCTGGGCAACTAGGTTTTGTCCTGATCACCAGAGACCAAAGAGTGAGCAGACGTGACCTTTGCCCTCATGGAGCCACATTCTATAAAACACAATGAGAAACATAAAATAAAATAAGTGAGCATTTATACGCTAGTTATAGGTGGCTTATGATACAGAGAAAAGTAAATTAGAATATGAACATAGAAAATGTGAGGATTTAGGTGCAATGTGAACTAGGCAGCAAGAGAGACCTCACTAGTAAGATGGCAGAGCCTCGCATGGCAGTGTAGGGAGGACGGGTTTGAGGCTAGCTTAGGCTACATAACATGGCTGTCTCACCAATGACAGACAGACAGACAAAAACAATCTCTCTCCCCTCCAAAGGTGAGGAACTAAGTCATGGGCCCTTTTGGGAGAAGAAACAAGGCCCTGAAGGGGGCTGTGTTCTACAGGATTCTCAAATGTGGCCACAGAAGTACTGAGTCAGAGCAGTGTTCGCATGCGATGTACATATATTTTCCTGTAGAGGCTTAGATTTTAGTTATATCATTTCGGGAGCATTTGTTTATTTTCATACAATTTGTGTGTGTCAGCCAGAGGACAAAGACTCTCCTTCCGCTGAGTGTGTCCTCAGAGGCTTGTCATCAGAACTCAGGTTCTCGGCCTTGGTGTGTGCCTTTACCCTCAGAGGCCTCTAACCAGCACCAACCTCCATATACTTTCAACACACTTTATTGAAAGACTTTGTTGTTATTGTTTATTGGTTTTTGTTTTGCTTTTCAGATAGGACCTCATCTCTATAAGCCTTAATGACCTAGAACTTGCAAGATAGCCTAGGCTGACCTCCAACTTGTCCCAGTTTTCCTGCCTCTGCTCCCAAGTATTGGGATTACAGGAAAGTAGTATCACATCTGTTTTCAACAGGAGCTGTTCTGAATAGTCTAGGGAATCATGATACAAAGAACAAGCCTGCACAAGTCTTAGACTGCAAACTGTAGAATCCAAGGATGGGGAAGTTGCTGGATGCAAGTCTGTAGTTTATCCCGGTACCATAGGGATGTTTGCAAAGATAAGGCCTTTTCCAGTCTGTTTTCTTCCGGTGAAAATCTTTTCTAAGGCAGCCCAAGGGAAGAACATTTGTCACAAAATATCAATGCCCAGAAACTCACCATTGTGCTGGAATGGAGGCAGATGGGTTGGTGGATTCTACAGTTGAATATTCCATGGGAGGGCCCTGAGATATGCAAACTTCATTCCCAAAGGAGATAGGCTTATCAGATGGTGCTCTAACTGCTTCCCAGAGGAAGTGGGGAAGAGCAGATGTGGGGGGTGGTTTGGTGGTGCTCGATAAAGGGGAAGACTTTGGTCAGTACCAGGAGGCCCAATCCAGGGCCGTGGTTAGGTGGATTTGAAGACTCTAAAAGCCTATCGCGGGGTGGGGAATGGGGGGTGGGGGGTGTAAATTGGGAGAAGAACAGTAACCATGGACCAAGGTTGATCAAGGACAAGGGAACTTTATCTTGATAGAATTTCCAGGGAACATCCTTCTTCTGGCCAAACCCACATCCCTATTACAAAAGTGCTCTGGACTAAGATTTTACTGTCTTTATTTCTTTTCAGATTTACTTATTTTGTATTTTGTGTACATGCATGAGTATTTTGTCTGCATGTCTTTGTACCACATTTGTGCCTGGTGCCTAAGGAGGTCAGAAGAGGGTGCGGATCTCCTCAACTGGAGTTGTAATTAATGGTGCTAGCAACCATGTGGGCACTGGAAACAACGTGGGTCTTCAGTAAGAGCAGCAACTGTTTTAACAGCTGAGCCATCTCTCCAGGCCATTTTGTTGTTGTTGTTTTGATTTTTGTTTGTTTTTAGGAGGCAAGATATCATTCTGAATCCTTGAACTCACAATTCTCTTGTCTCAGCCTTATGGATGCTAAAATTATAGGCATGTATCACCACCACCACCCCACTCCACCGCCCACTGCCCCCTCTACCACTGCCACCACTCTGCCCTGCCCGCTGCCGCTGCCACCACTCTGCCCTGCCCACTGCTCCCGCTACCACTGCCACCACTCTGCCCTGCCCACTGCCCCCTCTACCACTGCCACCACTCTGCCCTGCCCACTGTCCCCTCTACCACTGCCACCACTCTGCCCTGCCCACTGCCCCCTCTACCACTGCCACCACTCTGCCCTGCCCACTGTCCCCTCTACCACTGCCACCACTCTGCCCTGCCCACTGTCCCCTCTACCACTGCCACCACTCTGCCCTGCCCACTGCCCCCTCTACCACTGCCACCACTCTGCCCTGCCCACTGCCCCCTCTACCACTGCCACCACTCTGCCCTGCCCACTGCCCCCTCTACCACTGCCACCACTCTGCCCTGCCCACTGCCCCCTCTACCACTGCCACCACTCTGCCCTGCCCACTGCCCCCTCTACCACTGCCACCACTCTGCCCTGCCCACTGTCCCCGCTGCCACTGCCACCACTCTGCCCTGCCCACTGTCCCCTCTACCACTGCCACCACTCTGCCCTGCCCACTGCCCCCTCTACCACTGCTACCACTCTGCCCTGCCCACTGCCCCGCTGCCACTGCCACCACTC